CCTGCTGAAAAAAACAAAACAACCCAAACCGATTACCACTCTGTTACCAAATGTGAAATAAGTTATCAGTTATTTGAATACATTAGTCCCCAAAAGAAAGGAAAAAGCTGATGCCTGGCAATAGCATTACCTCCTTCTCTAAGCATCACAGATATGAACATTTTAGCACCCAAATATCCACCTTATTAGGCAGGAGCTTTTCTTGGTATTGACCTGATACAATGAGGTGAAAACAAAATATATATGCCTGTGGTTACTGCTAGTAGATAATACCCACAAAGCCTTTTGCTTCTGCAAGTGGGTTTCACAGTGAATCAAATATAAATGCAGTCAAACTTCTTGTATGTAGTCTTTCCGCTAGATTTCAAGTATGGAAGGACAACAATATTCCTAACAGATTGATAGGTCTAACTGCATAATTTCCTTCTACATTGCAATGCACAGTATCTCCCCATTCATCTTAAAACTACTGCAAGGAAAGCAAGAGGTTCTGCGCTGAAATGTCAGCCATGCCCTCAACACGCCACCACAAGGAAAAACACAACTTGGCTCTTGGTGCTGTTTTGCACAGTTAGAAATACCAGGAACTGCCCATAGAACAGAGGGAGTAGAAGGTGAACAACAAGTTACTTTGACAGAAGGCTTTCAAGTTTTGTTTAATAAACTGCAGTACCTTGCTGTATACCAAATTAATCTGAATTTAGATTTAGTCTTAAAAACCAGAATGTTATTGGAAATAACATATGCTTAGTATTAGTAAATAAAGTGACAAAATGTGAAAATACATTTATATAACAGATTGTACTTCACTTATTTGTTGTAAATAGAGATCCTGGGTAAAAACAGTGATCAGGAATGATCGAGAAATTGAAGTAAGCCAAAGCATTAATAACACGATGGTCTTCTTAGAGACATGATTAGTAACTATACTGCTTTCGGTGAACAACGATAAGTTTATTTAAGTCTAATTATAAGCTAGTGACAGATACAACAATAAAACCTTGCCTCAAGCCTTCGGTGTACCTCAGCATAATCGATTTGAAAAAGAACAGGTATTTCAAATAACCTAGTGTCTCTCAACTCTTCTTTGAGCCACCTCGGAAAACAGCTTAGAAAGGAAACCCCAAACAACACTTCTGGAGAGAAGTGGACTGGCTCAGGGAGCCCCACAGGCAGCGCCTACTTAGCAAGGACCTGCTGGGGAATGAAAACAACGTTCAGTATCTTTAACTTCTATGTCACCTGACATCGGACAAACCCTACAACAAACACTAGGTTAAAAATATCCCAACATAAC